ATTACTATTATTCAATTGTTATGATATTGTACAAGCCGTCCTCTACCCCCGAACGTTTCCGCCGTTCCGGTTTGGGGGTGTGACACTGATATAGATCCAAATTAGGTCATATCCGACGATTACCTGTTGACATGTATACATGAAATTACAACTAACTGATGGGAATGAAGTAGCTTGAAAACAAGCTCACGACAGGTAGTAGTAGAGAAACTAAAAAATCAAACATAATTTTATAGTCAATCACAAGCAAATAAAGAACTGATACGACTATTTAAAATTAAAGTATGTGGCTTAGTTGAAACTTAAAAACAAAACATACAATTTTTGTAATCCTATAACAAACACTTTTAATTTGACCAAAGAAGAATGAAAAGTGTAGATGAATTTATTATGTTTTTTAATAAATATGATTATTTTCCTTTAGTAGTTTGATAATATTTATAAATTTTTACGCACTCGAACAAGTTTGTAGAGAAATTGAGAAATGTGCTCCTCTGTTGCCCTGCTCTTTGCATTCAATTGTTTGATGGGGCAACCTTGACCAACTTTCACAGTTGGGGGTCATCTTCTACACACCCTCATCATGCTAAAGAAATTACTAAGCATGATTTTGATGATGTTCAATGCACTCATATGGAAACCCCAACCTCAAAAGGGCCCATAAGTGCAAGTGGAAATCCTCCAATCATTCAAAAAAGAATGGAGCGAAACGAAAAAGCAAAGATGTTGGTAGAAACACAATAGATGCAGAGTTACTAGAATACGGGGATGGATTAACAAGGTTGCAAAAATGTTCGTGGAAAAACATACTCTTGCTAACAATATGGATGCCCGTATGGAGAAGTTGGAGAAAATGTAATGGGAACAATTTTATGCAAGATACGACACGACTCTTTTGCTATTCAGTTAATGTGTCAATATTAGGAAAGTTTGGTTACACCGTCGAGTTGTGAGTAATGGGTGAGAAATTCGGGAAGGAAGTATGGATTATTCAGATCACTTTTGGATGTTTTCTTTTTTGCACAATGTATGAAATTTGAATGTTTTTTGGCTTGAGTTTTGGATCTTTTTTGGATGACTTTTTGATGTTATGTTAATGATTTATATGTTATGCAATTTACATGTTATTTGTTATACAATATATATGTTATGTGTTATGCAATACAAGTTATCAGTTTACATGTTACGTAATTCACATTTAACATGTCACATATGGATTCAGATAGTGAATTTTTATCTTTCTTTTTTACTTTGGTGTTGTTGGTTGATGTTAACTTGAAAAAACAAATATGAATTGAAAGAACAAGAGATATCGATTCAACATTAATCGGGCATGTATATACATACGATTTGCTACATAGATCTTCTATACAATGTCACGATATGGCGTGTCTTTCACAAGAAACATATGCACTATTATGCAATCATTTTACAAAAAGAATTTGGTTGCAATATGGTAATACAATAAGCATTGAAGATAAAAATGACTATGTTTTTGACAACTGTAGAATATAATGAACGTTTTCGATTGGTTAAACGAAAATTTCAATAATCCGTACAAATGGTTCATAAATGTTTTCAAGAGGTCCTAAATGCAATGATGCCTTTTGTAAAAGAAATTATAATGCCAACATCTTCTATATTGCAACCACAAATATCTCAAAACGACAATGAAGGCTAAAAGACATATTTCCTAAAGCAATAGGTGCGTTAAATGGAATGACAATGATTGCTATGTTTTTTTTACAACTATAGGACATAATGAACGTTTGAGTTTGAGACTTTTGCCACAAAAGTTATGTACACCGACATGTCTTTATATAATTTTAGGTTTCATTCTTTGACCATATAACAATTTTGTATATTGGCAAATTTGGTTATAGAGCTTTTGGGTTTAAGATTTTTGTATGTTGGCAGTTTTGGTCACTATGTAAAAAATAAATTATAAAAATTGTCCATGTACTGATAATGTCATGTGGAGTTTTTGCTTACAAAAACATTCCATGTATTTTAGATTTTCATATGTTAGTAAGTGTGACTCATATGTACAAATAAATTACAAAAATTATACTCATCATTTATAGAAAAAGTCTTGTATATTTTTTTATAGAAATAATCCATATATTTAAAAAGAAAATCACAAAAATAATCTCTATTAATAAAAAAAATTAATTAAAGCGCCACAAAACAGGATAATATCAGCCTAATTAATTCTTGCAACAAAGTCAAATTGGGACGATGAGAGTTCCAACAAAGTCATATTCGGATAGTTGTTTAAGGTGATTGAATAATCGTAGTTTAGTTGGCGGAACCCATTAAGGGCCAGGGAGCCCATGGTCCCCAAGCTTATTAGTATACTAATATCAAAGAGAAACCTAAAAAATCTAAACTAAGAACCCTTAATTCACGTCGCCAGGTTATTAGAAGTGCTTGATGCTGCCTCAAGACGAGAAGATAGAGATAATATCGATGTTTATAATTTGTCCATCGTTTACTAAATTTTGATGTTTCTTGTTTTCACTGTCTAATTAAAACCGTTACTTTTGCTTCCTGTTTCACACAATCACACAACCGAAGGAGTGGTTTTGTGGGAATATCCGACTTAAAAGAGGTGTTTCATCGTTCTACTTTCACAAACTTAAGAAATTATAATAGAAAATGAGTAGATGTGGTGAAAATTTTAAGAAAATAAAGGAGCAACTTGAGATCAAGATGATTAATGGTTTCAGAAAAAGAACCTTTCATAAAAGATAAGGGAAGCTGGAGGTTGTTTTTATAAATTTTGTTGGATGGAACAGTGGTTTTCATTTCTAGATAGTAATGGAAAATATTTTTATAATAATATTTATTTTTATAAATAATTTATAGATGTACAGAAATATTCGTTTATTATTAACACATTTAAATGTTTCTTTTACTTTGATATTTTTATTGTGTTAACAGAATTAAAAATTATATGGTCTTAGAAAATTATTATTTTTGTAAATGTTAAATATGTCACTACACATTTAAGATTTATTGAGCTTCTATTATATTAATATTTTGTTAAACAAATATATTAATGTTTGTCTATAAACTATAAATATATATTTCATTCGTCTCAAAATTATTGTCCACAGACAAAAAACATACAGATTAAGAAAACATTAATTGTCACTAACTTTAGTAAATGAAATGATAGTTTTACCCTTTTGTTGTATTTAATTTCATGGTAGTTACATTTAATTTCATGGTAGTTTAACTAATAATAAGAGTATTTTGGTAAAAAGAATATTCCTTTTTAGAAGTAGGTTATTATTTTGGGACAAACCAAAAAGGAAACTTGTATTATTAATATGAGACGGAGGAGTATTAACTATACAATAATATTTTTTTTAACATATAGGAATTAAATTTTTATTTGTTAGTTTTCATATTGTTATTTTCTTTTAAGTTGTAAAAATCGTTATATTTTTAATCGAACTTTTATTTATTATATATAATTTATTAGGGGTGTTCGCAGTGCGGTTTGGTGCGGTTTAGAGTGAAAACTGCAAACCGCACCGCATATGCGGTTTACGATTTTTCCAAACCACAAACCGCATTGCGGAAGCCGTAAACCGCAGTATGCGGTGCGGTTTGATACGGTTTGGCAAATGCGGTTTTGCGGTTTATGTGCGGTTTGACAAGATACTTAACCTTATTATTTTTATTGGTATCATTCAATTTTAGATTCGGTAATATTTGAATACGTAATATATATATATATATATATATATATATATATATATATATATATATATATATATATATATATATATATATATATATGTCACTATGTTTGCCAATTTATGCGTTGCTTTCCGATTCATATATTTTTGACATTCCTTTTTTTGTTGTTTTGATATAACGACCAACATTAAGAAAAAATAATATAGAACACAACTCCAAATTTATTAAACGATATTGCTGCAATCGGATTAAACAATTGATGCAATTGGATTAAACAATTGATGCAATGATAATTTAAAAAAGATAAATTAAAGAACATGCTACAAGATTCAATTAGTCATAGTTAGAAGTTATCAAATATGCATCACTGTGTTATATCATATTTATGGCTGGAGATTCGATTTGTAGAATATGTATAATAGTTTTTATATGGTAAATATTAATAATGTAATCAAATTATATATATATATATATCTATATATATATATATATATCTATATATATATATATCTATATATATATATATATGCGGTGCGGTGCGGTTTGAACCACAGTTTTCTAACTACAAACCGAACCACATAGTGCGGTTTACAAATATTACAAACCGCACCGCAAAAGTCCAAAACCGCATTATGTGGTGTGGTGCGGTGCGGTGCGGACGGTTTATGCGGGTTGTGCGGTTTCTTGCACACCCCTATAATTTATTAGTGTGAAAATAGTTGTCTTCCGCCCTGTCGAGTTTGTTTCATTTTTTATGTATATATAATTTATGATATGATAAGATCTTTTCAATTTATATTGTTTTAATGTTAGTTGGTTGTAAACACGAAACTTATTAAACCATAAAAAAGATACAAGGATTGATTTTTTGATACCTAATTCCAGTACTCGAAATTTAGATTAATATCCGAAATTCCATATATCTAGTTTTAAAGAGCCCTGATCGCCTGTATATATGTAAATCCACATATCTACGTCTTTATCCCAACCATTAAACATTATCACATTGCCATACAGGCAATTTTTTTTTTTTATATATAAAAAAAAATACTTTCAACTTCAAAAGTCATAGGTGTGGAAATCTTTATCACAACCGTTAAACATTATCACATTGCAATTGACGTTCTTTTTTTTTTTTTTTGTTTCTTGTAAAAAAAAAATTACTTTCAACTTCAAAAGTCATAGGTGCAATAATTGGGGGGAAATGGATGTTGATACTCACCAATAGTTTGTATAATATCATTTATTACAAAGACAAGAAGTTGATGGTCTACTTCTCAACAGCCTTGTTACTCTGCCCCTATGTTTTGTAACATGTCATCAACCAATTTACCTAGTGTAACAAACGAAGATCCACCATTTATCAAAGCCTTCCTGCTTTTCTGACTTATCTTCTCCACTCTTTCCCTGACTGGGTTCGTATCGTCCATCAAGCAATTTATGGCTCTCTCTATCTCATCTGCCATCACCAACTCGGTCCCACTGCTTCTGTATGTCAAACTCAACTCCACAGCCAGTCCCAACTCCCTCACAACCAAAAAAGCATTCAGTTGTTGTTCTGCATTCAATGGCCAAGTTGCAATAGGGACCCCATGCCACATGCTCTCCAAGATGGAGTTCCATCCACAGTGAGACACAAAGCCTTTTACAGCTCCATGTGCAAGTACTTCGATTTGTGGTGCCCAACCACAAACCATTCCTCTATCTTTCATTCTAGCGAAAAACCCATCTGGCATAACCTTTTCATAGCTCGTGTAGTCAGTTGGAGCTCCATGCATGGCTGGTGATGGCTGGCGAATCGACCACAAGAACCGGTGACCACTCCTCTCAAGAGCAATAGCGATCTGCTCTATCTGCGGCTGCTTAAAGCTCCCCATACTCCCGAAGCACAGGAAGAGAACCGACTTCGAAGGTTGTTTGTCGAGCCAGTTTTTTTATCTCAATCGATCCAGTTGACTTATTATGGTCAAGCAACGGTCCAACCGGGTATACAGACGGTTGGGCTACCATTGAATTAACAGCGTATGGTTCGAGCTCAACAAATGAATTTACTATAAATCCTTTGCATTCCTGGAACTTGGTACCAAGATAAAGGAAAGTTTCATACCCACCACCAGTTTTGTCAAATACAGCACCAGGAAGCACATTTACTGGAACATGATTCTGGTAACTCGGGATAAGTGAGTCAGGATCCGATGGGTTAAAACCGAAACCAACTTGGTTGTGGTGAATCGGGAGGTGTAGGAGGAATCCAAGAAAAGCTGTGTTTGAAGTAAAGAAGATGTATGAAGGGACCTTGAATTTGTTGGCTACATCGATCATACAACTGCAGAACATATCAAGTACAAATCCAAGTAGATGTGTTGACTCATCTGATACCAACTCTCTGACTGCTTGTTCAACTTGAGATTTATGGCTCTCGATGAAGAGGGTCGCAAGCTTTTCTAAGGATATAGGCGAAGAGGAAGAGGGTTGAGGTCCTTGAGGAAGAGGGTCGGTGGGATGAATTGTGGTGTATTTTATTCGGGCATTAGAAGCAGCAAGCGACTTTGTGTACGAATCAATATCCGTTTGAGAAGGATTACTGATAGCAAGGACTGTGATGGATAATCTTTCATCTCGATGGACCAAACGCTTTGCAAGTTCTATGGCTGATTTTAGGTGACCATAACCAGGTATAGGTATGAAAACAAGCTCCAACTTCTTCATAGCTGTTATCTGAAGCTGATCAAAGTCCGATCTGAATCTAGAACGATGAGTTATTCAACTTAATTGGTATTACACAAGTAGCCATTTTTATAATGAATACCCCAGTTTATTTCTTAAAAATTGGGTATGTTTACCGATTCTTTTGTAAGTGGGCCGTCTTTGACCCAAGAAAAAATAAAGAAGAAAAGAAAAATTGACGTGTATAACGCTGTTGCATTATTGTTCAAATATTTCATTTATAACTATTGTTATTTAAAAAATATATTTAAATAAAGATCTATTAACCATTCTTTCATCCCAACTAGCAGGAATTACACGTACTGTTGACACCGGGTTAGATCAGGTTTGTTTAAATGTTGGATCAGGAATTACAAAGCGATTGTAGTTGTTGATTCCTCCGGTCAACATGCAGTTTGTTCAAGATCTGTTTTGACTCTTGTTTTGATATTATAAATGTAGTGATACTAAAAACCTTTGTTTTTCTACAATCACAATAAAATAAAATAATAATTACAAAATAAGCTAAAAAATATCTCCTTTATTCAAAACAAATAAATCTCACCAAAAAACCCGCAAGAACAACACATGTTTCCAAGTTCTTTCTAGTATTTTCCTGAGCTAGTGTCGGAAAATCTTGCATCATTTTCAAAAGCAAACACAATATCATTTTCTAAAACAGAAAATAAAATTAATCTTAAAAAAAAAACTTACAATATGCAAATGCTGGTAGCCATTAGAAGTGGGTGTATTATGTTGAAAAGATTTTGCGGGTCCTGGTCTTAGATCAACAACTCGTGTTGGAGAAATTGGAGTCTGTTGAGGTTGCACCCAAGCAAGGACTGGAGGGGGAGAAGGTTGGCTAATAGTAATTTCAAAGAAAAGATCACTGCTATCAAAATGAACATGTGGGTGCTGAGGTGGACGTCTCCAGCTACCATCGTCCAATGAGAGCACATATTCCATAGTTGAGGTTTCCATTCCTGAGTTGACATCTTTAATGTCCATAGTGTCACTTTGCATAGACTGAATTAAGCTATAACCATAATGAAATACAATATAAATACTCGTTATATAATAGGATAAAATTTTTAAAGTATATATGCTAGATAAAATAAATATTGACTTTAAATTTTCATTTGTATTTAAGTCGCTATATGTAGGATACTGTACCTGTGTTCCACATTATCATTTAGTTTGTACTTTCTAAAAAAAATTAAACATAAAGAAAAAAAAGTAAATTTCCATAAATATGAAAATTACTTCATGAAAAAGTAAATTTCCATATTATCATTTAGTTGTACGTTGCTATAAATGTAATGGCCGTAAGGTAGGAAGAAAAAAGTAAATTTTCATAAATCCATGAACTCACTTCATGTTTTTTTTCCATAAATACTGACCTTACTTCATAAATACATGAACTCGCTTCACTGCCATCACCTTCAAAAAAAACATGAAATTCAAGCTCTCCAGTTGTTGTTGGGTAGGAAGAAAAAGAAAATGATGGGAGAGATTTGAACATAAAGATTATCATAGAAGATGAAAGGTCGAACCTTTAGATCTACAGGTGTTCTATGAACTGGAAATTAAAATAACAGCTTCTCTCATAATCATCTTCAGCCCAAAGTTTATCATAAAAAAATAGTTAAGGGGTATTTGTGTAATTTACCGTATTTGGTAGACTGGATTTTTGATATTCTGTTGGGCAGTGAGAGATAAAAGGTACTTGAATGGCTTTACCAAAATCCACACCATGTTCTTGAACAGAGTTAGTGATTATTAGATGCTGACGAAAAGGGGTTAATTCAATTCTGGTTTGTGCAAACTGGAGTGGGAGATTCCCTTCTTCATCTTCCTCATCTATGAAAGATTTTGAAAATCTTCAGATTTATCTACAGTTTCAACTCGGTTCCAAAAGTGTTGCCAAAGAACTAATTATGCCATTCGGATTTCGGAATGGAATTCGTTAATGAATTTTGTATTCTGAAATTTTCACTGAAAAAGAAACGAAAATGTATTGCTTAAATTGTTAAAAGCTGCTCAATTTTAGAAACAATATAAAAAAAAATTATACCTGTAGTAGTTGGAAGAAGAATGGTTTGTATAAATTGCTTTGTTCTCCTTGTTGGCATATTTCCAAAATTAGGATAAAACATCAAAAAAAGAACATAAAGAAAAATATATGTTATAAACTGTAAATATTGGCAAAACAAACGATTGTTACTTAATAAAAATTATTGTTCATACATGTAACATACATGAACTGAGTAATTCAGCAACGATTTGAAACCTCGTGTACAATTCAAGAATCAAGCAGACGAACCTACATAAATTAAAAAGCATAAAATGCCAGAGCAATTCATCTATGTAACTAATAATGTGTTGTTTCCTAGATGGAATGATGGATTAACTGATGGGTTTTTAGCACAACAACATTCCTATGTGATCATGCAACCCTAAATGCTTTGGATCTAAGTTTTTCTCTAGTTATACATGCAAATAGAAATTCCAAAGCAATAACCCTAATAATAGCATACAATTTCAGAAATCAATATGAAAACTAGGGTTTGATTGTTACCTTTCTTGTTATCTCGTAATAACAAGTAATCCACAGATGATCTTGACTCTTGAAAGCTTGAGTGCCTCACGTGTTGCACCTCTAATGGAATCACAAACACCAAAAGAAAATGATGAGTGAGAGAGGGCCATAAATCGGCTAGGGTTTCTTCTTGCGAAGCAGTGGCCGATTTCAAGAGGTCTAGGGGCCTTTATATACTTGTGGCTGCTAGGGTTTCCAGGGAAAACCCCAATTCCTTACTTAGGCTCCAAGCAGCCCATGGACTTCCTTCTAGAAGGCCTTGGACGATTTCTATAGGGCCTCCTATAGATTTCGTCCAACCCATTCCAAGGTAGTCCAGCATACTAGATTGCAACTATCAATGATTTGCACAACCAGTCCCTGTACATTTAATCAGTTCCTTTAATCCCAAAATTAATACCAAATTAATTTATGATTAAGTACTAATTAAATAATATGATTTCCAATTAATATATTATTCTTATAATATATTAATAAATCATTAAATAACCTCTCTCTCCAAAAGTCATCCTGTCAAGTTGCTATGGTGAAGGCAACCAAAAAGGACTATGCTACTATCAGATCAAGTACATATCAATTATAGTTATAGGCTTAAACACCTAATCCAACAGTCTCCCACTTGGATAAGTCTAATTACTAAAATTGCAAGTATGACTTCAGAATCAGATTAGCAATTGTAGCTTTCAAAAGCCGCTGTCGAACTCTGACCTAATCAACGACGCGCCCTTTAGATAATGGATCACATAATCCTTCGTTCTACAAGATATCGTGTGGACAAAGACATGGAACAGAATCATCCACAATGTCCAACAGTTTGTTTCCTGATTTATGATTAGTTTGACAAGGAACTTAATTGAAGACATCAATTCAGTCCTGACCGGGCCCGACACATAAGTCAACACAAAATCATCGAGGGGCCCACGATATCGCTTTTCCCGTTAGGGCAAAAGGAATAGATAAACTTTGACTTATATGCTTGTACTATTTACTCATCAAATCATACACAACAACACGTTTTATAACATCAAGTTACTAATGCGTTTACGCATTATCAATGCACGGAAGAACTCAAGAAGTGGTAATACAGACAACTTCCTTGCATGTCTTGATACAACATTCATGGACTCCGCACTATTTGAGGTCAAGTTATCGTACCTCATGGTAGGGCAATGCGATCTAATCCATTTATCACGTGGAATTTGACTAAGGTACACCGCTACATCTGGTCTAAGAGAACAAAGTCTCCCCCAATACTGTTCAAACTCAGTGGTCTTGTAAGCTCCTACAAGCTTTCAAAACAAAATTGTTGTTTTTTTTTTCAAAGGTGTGCACTATGTTTCCTATTAGATGAAAACCACACAAGCCATGTTGAGCATTGCACATATATTTTGAATACTTACGTCAATTGATGCAGCCATTTCCATTACCAATGTTAGACCTTCCAAATCACCAATGCATTCATGTAGTTTTTCAAGAAACCATGTCCAAGAATCTGTAGTCTCTTTTGGGTAAATTCCATACCCAATAGGCAATATCTGATTGTTGCCATCCATGGCTACTGCATGCAATATGGTGCCTTTGTAATTTCCCTTCAGATGGGCACCATCCATAATAATAACTTTTCTACAAAACCCTCTGAAAGCACTTATCTGCAACAACTTTGTAAAAAACATGAATATATTAAAAATATATTTTGTTTATAAACACTATATATTTACAAAGTTTTAAATTTAATTTATTTATTTACCGCGCATCCAATAGCGAAAAAACAATACTCGAAGCGATCCTCCAAATCAGTTTGTATGCATGCCACAGTCCCATGATTATGTTTCTTCGAGTTGTGAAAATAAATTGGAAGTTTGGAGAAACTTTCTTCAGGGGTCCTCGTTATCAATCCCATAGCAAATTGTCTAGCATGTCACGCTTGTGAATAATTCAAATTAATTTCTAGCAACGCATTCATATCTCTAATTATATCTTTAGGCCTCGAAACTCTCAAACTACCTTGACCCATAATGTCATGTATTAGGGTTCCCACAACTTCACTAGTTGCTTGCCAATGATTTGGGTGTATAAGTAATGAAGAACATGTGTGCTCGTCATTAAACGTCTTAATTTCAAACATTTCAGTTCCTTTAATGACAGCTGCATATAAACGTCAATAACAATTTTCTTGCAAACAAACAACCTGGTACCGAGATTTGGTAGATTTTTGTACCTTAATCTGAAACTTTTCTTTAAAGGCTTTGAATTTAATAGAAGATGCTAGGTCTTTTTTGGTGTTGTAGGTTTGATTCACATATATTTTATCATTCGGGCCTAAACTGTGAAATGGTCCAGGTTCAAGAATAGGTTTTGAACAATCAGGAATGGGAGGTATACAATACCATGGGTTAAAAGCAATTTTTCGTTACGTGTACTGATCTTCCGACAAACCTTCAATTGATTTTTCATCAGATAATCGATCATCAAAATCAGGTACTTCTCCAAACTCGAATAAATTTCGTTGTTCTAATTCTGTCATGCATAAATTTGGTTCTTAATCATTATCTGATACAAAGTTATAAGGAACCGAAGCTCTTTTTTGATAACCTACTCCCACGTCATTTCCTCGTCCACAGGAACGGTTTCCACCGGATTGTCTTTCTCCACAACCTCTACTACTTTTTTCTCTAATAAGCTGGCTGTTCTGAAACTTCACCACTGGTTGTTCTTCAACTTCTTTACCGATAAATACAAATACACTGTCGGCTTTGTTTCAGACATTACATGTCTCAGTTGAAATACATCTGATTCATCTGCAAGCTCCATGACATACCCACATTCTAAATGTTTAAAAGACAAAGATATATGACTATTGAACACAGTTGCCTTATTTCTAACCATTTGTAATAACATCTGATGGTCACAATTAGGATGAAGATTTAAACCAAAGTTTTTAACGTTATTTCTAACATAAACCTCATTTTCATTAATCGACTGTCACAACCCTCCCGTACATAGAATAATAAAACTCATTCTTTCGGAACACTCTCTGCATAGATAATGAAAGAACAAGTTCTAGTGATTAAAGCATTTACAAAAATGAAAAAAAGGTTTCTAGTAAGTAATATCATTAAAAAAACGAAAAAAAGTCATTAATTGTTCAAAACCGCTCCACCAACCATTTCCACAGAAGAGTAATCATTCCTCAGAGGTGTACATCGTTCTGCAGAGACGTGCTCTGCGGAAATTGCGGAAATGTCAGAAGAAAATAAATGCTTTCAGCTACCATTTTCTCAAAGGCGTACTTATTTCCGCAGAGCCCTTCTCTGCGGAACTGTGTAAAAGCATTTTTTTTGTTTTTTTCCCCACTTGTCCTATTCCTCAGAGCGTAAGGACTTCCACATAGTCCCCTCTCTGCGGAAGTTGTGATCATTTAATAAAATTGTGTTTTTCATTGTCATTTGCTACAAACCATCCATTTATTTTGATCATTTGATGAATTTTCTCTTTAAGAAATTGGGAAACTACTCCTTATTATTATTATATATATATTAAAGTTGTGGAGAAAAAGAACAGTAAAGCTGAGATATTTTTGCCACTTTTGGTCCCTTAAATTACATTTTCGGTCCCTTCATTTTTGTTTGTGTGTCACTTTGTTTAAAGGATAACACTTTTATGAAACACGGTAATTCTACAACTTTTTTTTTTTTACTCTTTTGTCTCAATTGTTTTACCTGTTGTCACTTTTCCCCTAAGTTATTGTTTTTTACTTCTTCCGCTCAATTCCCTCGCTCCGCTTTTGCTTAAAACGATTCCCATTTTTTTTTATCGTCACTTCTTTAATTAATGAGTTTTTTTTAATGTGTAAAAGCATTTATGAAGAGTAAGGAATTGGTTTATTTTACATAAATAGTCATTAGGTTTTGTTGAATTTGACGACAAAATTACATAAATGGTCCATATAGTTTACCCATGATGACAAATTCAGTCCCTACTACCTGAAAAGACCAAATTACTCTCACATTAACGGACAAAAAGCAACCAACATGCTACTTTACTTTACAAAGCAATACCTTCTGATCCCGGCAACGACGGCGAATCTTTTTCTAGTTGAATTTAAAGGTGTGTACGAAACAAGAAAACAAGAAGACTTATTTATACATTGGAAACATAACAATAAAATAGAAAACTAAGGAGCACTATAGCATCTTTATCCCAAATATGTCGCCCAATACTTCCTGATTAACAGGTCTCTTAGCTGACTAATTCCAAGTGACCGTTGATGCAGATTTTGGATCAATATTCAACAACAACTAACAAACTAAGCTTACTCGATTTTTACACACAACACCGGATTTAGCATCGTTGAGCTGGAAGAGGAAAAATCAATGAAAGTTACATTTTTACCTCTAAGGAAAAAAAAAAAAAAAAAAAAAAAAAAAACAAAGAGAATTACATCTTCATCACACCTATTACTAAATTACATCAAACCCAATCATCGTAAGGAAACGATGTAGAGTCTAGCCACTCTTCGCCGGCGATGAATTCTGATACTGTAAAATTAGTAGCTTCATTATAATCCATGACGTGGTAACCAGGCCAGCTAACTCGACCCTCTACCCTTGAACCAGGTCCAATGTTACCATACTCGCCATAATATAAGCTCTCCAAACCTTCATCTTTGGATGACCAATGAATCCACCCCATTGGGTCAATTAAATTATCAATGTACGACTCCATGAAAACGGTGCGAGAGTACGTCCTCCATGGCCTCCCAAGATAGCTTTTCACTGCGGGGATACTAGTTGAATTTCTAACAAAGGAAGAGCGATCTCGGAGATCATCCGTAGCCAAAATGGAACAATTCTGGAACGAAATTCCTGTTTGTTGATCCGGTGAGTCTCTGGACTGGGCGGCGATCACCGTGAACTGGCTGGGCATGGGCATTCTGGATATAATATTGCATCCCTGAAACACCACGGCTGCATTACCGAATATGTAATCTATAGTCCCATAAATGTCGCATTCTCTGTAAAATTGCCTGAAGGAGTGGACGTACAACGTGTCTTGATAACCGCTTATTGCACATCTGTAGACAGCGGCTAAGTCTGCATTGACACGAAGAGCAACAGCCTGGTGCTTCTCTGGTCCTGCTATGTTATGAAATCCAATATCACGTGCCAAGAATCCTTCTCCTGAGACAGCTGATCATCATCAGCATTCAGTTATTAGTCCATTGTGATTCGTGCATGTAATAAGTGTGTGTAAAAACGGTGTAATTAATGTTAAGTTTAGTTTGTTTACCAACAGTGGCGGATCGGAAAGTAGTCCAACCATCAATCACACTTCTGTTACCACTGATTGTAGTGATATCACTTCCTTCTCCAAGCAGAACGATGTTTGTTTTATAACTAGGAATCTCTACATTTTCTTCATACAACCCCTGTTTAATGTAGATTAAGACCCTGTCAACACTATTGTTTGGAGCAAAGTTTATGGCGTCAGTAATGGTGGTGAAGTTGCCACTCCCATCGTTTGCCACAGTTAGCGTGTTGTAATCATAGTCATAGTCATCATTATCATCTTCATAATCATTGCGGAAAATCTTGCGATCTTTCCCGGATAACCATTTTGGAAGATCCATTCCTTTGTTGGTGGTCTTGTGGTGTTTTGACTTATCTTTTTGCTTCGAACTAGATGCAGAGAGAAGTGAAAGAGAATTGCTAACATGCTTGTAAGCAGTGGTTATGGTGTCGACTAGGAGTGGTTTTAGAGGACCCGAAGCCGACTCTAGGCCTTCTAAACAAGTATTCTTGTTGGTGACAGCTGCCGACAGGAAGGCCCCGGCATCTGCTAACTTATTCGAGGAAGAAGAAGACGAAGTTGTGGTGAGTCTAGAAAGCGACTTCTTTAATGAGGAAAGAGTTATTTGGTGGAGTTCGTTGCAATCTTGGATGGTTCCCTTTTGTTTCTCGATGATATTACCATCGGTGTTTGACAAAAAGGGTAATAGCTTAACACCTTCATTGATGGCAAACTGGAGAGACTGGAGGACGACATTGGCATTGATGTTTATGGAGATTGATAGCTTCAAGGAGTCGAAGCAGACATCAGGGTATGGAGTCGACTTGCAGACCGATCTTATTAGGGAGGCTGAATCCGGAGAAGATCGAGATAGAGTTTGATGTGTTGAGAGGAAGAGTATTAGTAGGAGGAACTGGAAGAAAGACATGAATCAAAATTTTATGTATATTTGAATAGGGTAAATGAGTAAATCTGAATTTAAACGTCTATAGAATACATTAAGGACATAAAGAAAAGTACAAAATTATGAAACCAAGAGACGTGATCGTACATATTTTATGGTGGATAGGGAGTAAAAGGGACAAAAGATCACATGTCTTGCCTCCAACATTTCTTTTAATTGGTGTATGTGGTGGGGTGTGGTTGGGAGACGATGCATGTATGAGTATTAGTTAAACAAGTTGATTAATTGAGGGAGAGAGAGAGAGAGATAATTTGATGGTATCTTTGTTCACGGGGGAGAGAACACCGGCTGTGATAATTTAATGGTATCTTTGTCCTTTCCCTGTGTTTTACTAGAATTCTTCCTCACCGACGACTTTTCATAGGCTGTGATATTTGGAGGTCCTGTTGACTAAATGTCGTTGACTAAATATCTTCTGACTTCGAATGATACGTGTCACCACTCACCACCAATCTATGTTTTCCACTTGACGCAGAGTTCTTGCTCTTTTGTCTAACTCTTCATCTCTTTTTTTCTCTGCAACTGCCTCTGTTTCATTTTCGTGTTTTATTTCGATTTAGGCCATCCTCGATTGCTTCCAAACTTCAGCAACGATTTCTCATCTTTCCGAGTTCCAAAATTGCAGGTTAGTTGATACATCCAAATACACAAAAGCACCGGTCCTCCAATTAACGTCGTCCGTTCAGGTAAGTTTTTTACTCAGCTTTCAATCAGTTTCTTTGAGTAATCGATTTAACACTTCATGGTTTCTTCATCCTCTTAATTGATTCTTTGATGAAATTAGGGTTCTTGACCTGCTTTGGAAATATTTTTTTAGAATTGTTTTCCTTTTCTCTGTGGATTATTTTGGAGCTGCTCCAACAGCCGATGATGAAGAAGGTAGGTCGCCTTCGCTGTTGCGGTTTTGAGAAATAACAGAATATGAGAGCATCCAAAAAGAGGGAACATAGAGGTTAAGTTATAGTCAGGTGAGAAAGCATAAACGATGAAACTATTTGCATAATTTTATCATCTACTTCACTGTGAAATTAATAATTTTATGCCTATCATTCGTCATCTACTTCACTAATAATTTATTCGAATTCCTTGATTAGGATCATTACCATTTTTTGCCTGTAGGATTTCGCCTTTCCTACAAGAAAAAGCCCAAACAGTTGGGCTTAGTTGATTTAACTTTTCTTTTAGAGTTACTTTCATCTTAATATTGAATGTTCAATAACATAATTGGAAATGTAGTTCATCTAATTAGGCTACACACGGTTTATGTCCGAATACAGTTATTCTTCAGGATCTTATGGTGGTTGTCCTCTTAATTTCAGGATGATTCTTATATTGATTGTTACATGAGTATCATTGGAGTTCATTTTGTAAGCGTTTTCCCTCTATCTCTTTATGTGTGTGTATGTGTTTGTGTTTACATTATCACAGTATGATGAAGATTTCTTTTACTTTGGGAACTGCTAAAATTACAAATTCATATTTCAGAACATTAGAATGTGGAGCTGGATGGGATGACGAACAAACTGTAGACTTTAAATACAGTTTATTTAAAAGAATATCTTGCTCTACTTTGAAGTTTTGATAGAGCACCTATTAGTTTATTTATTATGCTCAAGGGAACTACAGGGATGCTATTGATAAAGGATTTATGAAAGGTTTGTAATTATAAAGTGAGTAGATTTTCCAAACTACAATGTCTTGATAAGAAAGAAAATTCAAAATACAATGTTGTAATATAAAGAAATAAATAAATGGAAGTGCATTGCTATTTCTTCTCTCAGTCTTTATAAATAAACCTAGGCATGCATGTATCTTTAATAAACTCATTCATTTTAGGTTTAATGCAGCCTTGCAATTGGATCCAAATAATGAATCTGTAAGAGGAAATATTCAGGTTCGTTCATATTTTTATATATATATTTCGTAGAAGATCGTCTACCAACATTAAAAAACATCATCAAACAACCTGAATTAAATGGATGGAACTTGTATTTAGGTAATAACACCTCAAAAAAAATATTCATTTGTATTTTTCTTCATAGATAAGTCAGATAGATTTGTACCATCTATCTATGTTTTTATTGACTAAATTAGAAAATCGTATATTCTATTTGTTTTGTGGGAGATTAAAAAAGTGTAGCTTTCTCCAGCAAAAAGTTGAAATGAAGGTTTTTGCCTTACATATATATGATACAACAGAGATTTTGAAGAACACCTCCCACAAGATCCCTCCCTCTTTTCACAAATATATATCGGAGTAAATTAAACAAAGACTAGGTTACATAAATGGTGCATATGGAGTCTGGTGAAATTCGTTATTTGGAATGGTAATTATACTTTATATATTATATTTGTTATAACTTATAACTACATTATAATTATTAATAAAAACTGTAAAGGAAAGGGTAAAATTGTCATTTACGACAAAAATACCATTCTACTTTCACTACAAAAAAAAGGTTATTTCCATAAAAGACCCTATATTTTGATTTTTTTCTTTTTAGACCTAAAACTTTTTTCTTTTCCGAAAAAGACCCAACTTTTACCTATTGCTTGTTATTTTAGACCCTAGCAGGTTACCAAAAGGGAAATTAAGTATTTTCATTTCATAAAAAACCCTAAATTTTGTACTTTTTCCAGTTTAGACCTAAAATGTTTTTTTTTTATTTCAAAATAAACTCAACTTTAAAATTGGTTACAACCTTTAACACTAATTGTATAAGGTACTTAACTATACCGATTTAATGAAGCTTAACTTCGTTCATGCATAAAAACGTGATTATATCCTTTCAAATTAAAATAAAATCATAAATTTTATTTTGGTAATTATTATGATTATCCTTAAGAATCAATAACAGTGATATACAAACACCATGTATTGATCTAAACACAATGTATACATAAGATAGATTAATAAAATGAGGTAGTAGGCCAACTATTCAATTTTCTTTTCTCTACAACAAAATTCATAGTTTTGTTCGTTTTGCTCATTCACCACATTCCAACCACTGTTAATAATGTTAACCATTGTATTTTGATATGTAAGTGTGCGGTATCATTCTTGTTATTTGGATTTTCAACTTATGCTCAAATGGTTTCATTCCCAAAATATAGTTTTATGTATTCATATGTGATGTTAACATTTTTTAAGGAAGTCTTAAACTTGAATCTCATATATCTAAACAAAACTAATACGAATGTTTATGATTAATATTTTTATGTATTTATTTGATATAATTATAACATATTATTTAATAATGGGCTAATGCTACAAAATATTCTATGACTTTGGTTTAGGAGTATGATAGTGAGTGCGTTTGTTAACTGTTCTAAAAAAATGGTTTAGATAAGGGTTTAAACTTTAAATTTGTTTTTAAATAGACTCGATTAAAACATTTATAAAAGCTTAGTAACATGACCCTTACTCTATACTTTTATAGCAACTAGGAGAAAACCCGGGCTTCGCCCCATGTGGAATTTATTATAAATACATTTGTATGCAAACACATATTTATTAAAAAAATATACACAAACACATATTTCATAGTAAACGTATACATTTCTTTTTTTAAAACATATTTATATGCACCCAAATAAGTGTTTGTATATATTTCTTTTGTAAAAACATATATATATATATATATATATATATATATATATATATATTTATAAACACCTACTTTATAATAAATGCATTCGTATTCAAACATGTTTATATACAAAATGTATACAAACACGTTTTATATAAAAAATTATTCAAACACATTTCTATAAAAGAAATGTATACAAACACCATAACTTTCCTTCCCTATAACGCCCCACAACCATCACAAAACACCAACTTCAACCACTCATCTCCCTTTCACCACCATCTCTCACTGCTTTTTTTTATTTCCTATGAAATACCTAGCAACCAACATTACCCATCCATGTGATTATCTTCACCTACTTTACTAACGTTGCTGGAAAAGTACGCCTTAAAAACCACCAAACGTCGTCTCCGACCACCAATCGCTACGTTACTGCTCACCAACATTACCCATCCCTGTGGTTAAGCAGATCGTGGTATTGACTGGTGGTTTGGCGATGTTCTCAAACTTCGATGTTGGTTGCAATGAAGCTATCGATTGAAGAGGATTGTGATGCAGATGTTTGGGTTAGAGTGATGACGGTGGCTCAAGGTATTAAGGTTGAGATAGTGTGTTATACGACTGTGAAAGGATTTATCTAATTATAGGATTTTAAATTAATAATATTTAATTGATTTAAGTTGTCTGAATTAGTGGAAAGTTTTAAAGAGAACTAAATGATTATTATGTTAATTTACCTATATATCCTTATTTATTGATTGGTTGAGAATGGGTTATACAATAACACAATACTTGTTGGATATATATATATATATATATATATATATTATATATATATATATATATATATATATATATTATCTCCTTGGAATCATAAAGATTTTATATTTATTAACTACTAAATAAATACCTATTTTTATAAATAGATATTTCGTATATAAAAACATTTTTTTTTAAATTATATAGAAAATATAAGATTTTTTATGTGAAAATATGTTTTTTTTGTATAAATATGATTTTATAAAGCAAAAACATATTCGAAATAAAATTTTGAGAAAAAAAAAGTTATAAAAAAAACTAAAGTTAGGATGAATTAATAAAAAAAATTCTAAAATTTTGGCCAAATGGGTAAATTTTAGACCAAATTTGTAGTAAAATTTAAAATCTGGGTCAAAATTGTAAATTTTATACCAAATTTGTAATATATTTCAAAATTTGGGCCAAAAATGTAATTTTTGAAAGTTAGATGACATGTTGACGGGTAAAAGGGTTAAATTGAATACGATTACCGGTTTTTGGGACTTAATTGAATAAAAAAAATATAATAACTAAATTGATTATAAGGCCAATATATAAGAACTTTATTGCAATTTTCCCTAAAAAAGA